TTTATATATAAGATTCTCACGAACCGCTACTACATTCCGTAATCAGCATGCTCAGTTACCCCACTCTGCCAACTCCCACTCCCGTAGCTTGGACTTTGCGAAAAAATCGATAAAATCGATAAAAGTAATGGACAATTTCAAAACCAATATTGTATTCGGAATCCCCATGCTCGATTACCCCCCCTGTGCGAACTCCCAGCCCCGTAGCTCAAACTTTGCAAAAAAAATCTATAAAATCGATAAAAGTAATCGATAATCCTGAAAACCAATATTGTATTCGTAATCAGCATGCTCGATTACCCCCCTGTGCAAACTCCCAGCCTCGCATGTCAAAATTTACAAAAAAAATCTATAAAATCAATAAAAGTAATGTACGATTTCAAAAACTAATATTTTATTCGTAATCAGCATGCTCGACTACCCCCCTGTGCAAACTCCCAGCCCCGCAGGTCAAACTTTACAAAAAATCGATAAAATCGATAAAAGTAATCGATAATTCTGAAAACTAATATTGTATTCGGAATCCCCGTACTCACTTACCCCCCTTTGCCAGCTCCCAGCCCCGTAGGTGAACTCCGCAAAAAAAATCGATAAAAATCGATAAAATCGATATCGATCGATGACGAAAAGTAGCCTATGACACGCGCCGGGGCCCGAAGTGTATGTGTGCCAAGTTTGGTCCGGATCGGTTCAGAAATGGAATTTTCTATTCGGAACATACGTACACACAGACAGACATACAGACATACATACATACAAACAGACATTCAGCTTTATATATAAGATAACCTTAAAGGCACTGCCCACTCAGGTTCTCAACTTCCATGTTCTGGTCGTTCTGGGGTCGATGGAGTCCAGAATCCGAGGAAAACCTCTACAATCCCCGTTCCGGAAAGCCCGCTGGCGGTTTTCCGGAACGGTGATTAGATGGGCGCGCATGCATGGGGTGCATTACTGCAGGGGGGGGGGAGAGATAGGCGGTGCCGACTTGGAGTCTCATGCCTTTTCGCTAATCAGAAGCGATTTTCTCGCTTCCGAAGCGACATTTTACATCGCGACTTTGGCATTAACTTGATAGAGGGTTTTACAAACATAAGCTGCCAAAAGCTCATGACCCACCAATTCGGCATTTTGTGGAAGGGGTCACCTTACTTTCTGCCCAGGAGTGAAGTCATGTCGGTCAAGAATAACGATGGCTCTGCCAGCCGCCAGCTGCCAGCTGCTCACGAGTGCAGAACAGTCCGCTTTTACTCTTTTAGAAAGCGGAGAAAAAGAATTTAAATTCCTCTTCTTTTCATTTAATTTTACTTCTTACATTAGTCGTCCACGGATCTCCTTCATAGAGGGATCACAGCCGGTTAGTCGCGAGGCTACGCGGGCGTCCCCAGGTGGCGGATAGGAAGATAATCGCCGACCAAAAGCGACCCCGCGCCTGTTTTGATAAGCAAGCGGAGCCGATGGGAACGGACTCCCTGCCTCCACTAAAAGCTTGCACTCTAATTTAGGTAGGTGGTAGGTGTGTGGGGAGGCGAGTTCGGAGTCGCCTCCAACAAATAAGCTCCGATCGTCCCTCGCGGGGGTTTTGAGCCCAACAAGCAGCTATCCCTGCGAGTAAAATCTTGTTCGACACAATGATAATATTCCTTTAATCTTGGAAGAGCCACTGGTAAGGCAGCGCCAGTTGGGACAGGGGTTTGAAAGGCGATCTAGGCTGCCGAAATCGAGACGGACTATGATGACGATCTGTACTTACAACGCGAGGACGCTGGCATCGGACGCATCTAATGAAGACCTCATGATGCAAGCAAGGAAGATCAAGTACGACGTCATCGGACTGACCGAGACAAGGAGGCACCACCCGCTGAACGCCAAATTTGAAACTGGGGAAGAACTGTTCCTAGAAACATGCGACAGTCGAAGAGTAGGTGGAGTGGGAGTCCTTGTCAACACGAGTTTGGCCATGAACATCGATTCGTTCGAACAACTTACAACTCGAATCGGACGTTTGCGAATATCAAGATGTGGATCAATCCTTGCCTTGACCGTCTTCATTGCGTATGCCCCACTTCCAGCTACGACGAGGACGAACTCGAGGAATTCTATATGGACTTGGAGGAGTGCTACAGAGAAGATCATACCTTCTACAAAATCATCGTCGGTGATTTCAACGCGAAGATCGGAACCAGAAGGTCGACAGAGGAACTTCACATCGGAACCCATGGTTTGCAGTGGAACGAACAAGGGGAAAGACTGTTCGAGTTTATCATGACGACGAGGACTATCCATGGAAACTCACAGTTCCAAAACCCTCTTCCTGACGCTGGACCTCGGAATCGCCCGGTGGAGAGTACCATAACGAGATTGACCACACCATCGTCAAAGAAGGTACTGCCTGACGGACGTCGCTGTTGTTCCGAAGTTCTACACGGGGTCAGACCATCGTCTCCTACGCGCCAAATTCTACTTTCCGCGGAATGGAAAGCCGTCGTTCAGTAAACATCGTCCCATGAATACCAAAAAGTGGGATCTGTTTTCTTCGATATCAGGCTCATGGCGAGATACCGTGATGGACAACATCCACGAAGAATAGGAACGGTTCGTAAAACATCACCACGATTGTGCCAAGGAAGCTCAGAGTCTAAGAAATATGAGAAGGCGTCTCGCCATGGAGACTTTGGAGCTGATACGCCAACGTGGATGCGCACGAGCCACAGGCAACTACCGACCGAGCTTGCGAAGCGATGCGGAGAAGCGATAAAAGAAGACCTCAGGGAGAGAAGAGTAGCAGTGATGGTTGACGCCGCGGAGGCTGGAAAAAGTATACGCAACGCCCGCCAAGCTTCGCCAACTTCAAGACAAAGATGACCGCACTTCGTCGTCCTGACGGAACCATAACTGCTTCCCGAAGATCAATGGAGAAGGTCATCCACGACTTCTACTCGGATCTCCTTGCGAGCCACGTCCACCTTCCACCATGCCATCTCAAGGAGGACGAGTATGTCGCACCGTCTGTTCTTCCTTCCGAAATTCGTCATGCTATCATGTCGATGAAGAACCGTACAGCACCCGGTCCCGACAGAATTAAGCCAGAACATCTGAAGAATCTTTCGCCAGTTCTCATCAAGACTTTGGCAAGGCTCTTCACGCGGTACCTGACGGAAGGCAAGGTTCCAAGACAATGGAAGACCAGCAAAACCGTGTTGCTGTACAAGAAGGGAGATCCCTGCTACATCGGCAATTATCGCCCTATCTGCTTGTTGTCTGAAGTCTACAAACTCTTTACGCGAGTTATTCTCAACAGGATCGGAAAAGAGTTAGACGAGGGACAACCATGCGAGCAAGCTGGGTTTCGAAGAGTATTCAGCACGATAGACCATATACACACGGTGTCAAGGCTCATTGAAGTGTCACGAGGGTATAAGATGCCGCTCTGTCTCACCTTCATCGATTTGAAAAAGGCCTTTGACTCCGTTGAGACTGAAGTCGTCATCGATGCCTTGAGTGATCAAGGTATTCCGACTCATTACATCAAGATAATTCGTGAGCTGTATAACGACTTCACAACCACTATAACACCATTCTACAAGGATATCAACGTGAAGAGAGGCGTGGGACAAGGCGATACTATATCGCCGAAATTATTCAGTGCCGCTCTGGAGAACGTCATGCGAAAGTTGGAATGGGACAACATGGGAGTGAAAGTCGACGGCCGGCAGCTACACCACTTTCGCTTTGCTGATGACATCGTATTGATAGTACCAAGCATCACGCAGGCGAAACAAATGCTGGCCCAGTTTGACGAAGTGTGTGGAAAGATCGGTCTACGGCTGGATCTAACGAAGACGATGTCCATGAGGAACGGAAGAGTGCCTGATGCTCCTTTCTTGCTCAACGGGACGAACATCACCGAATGCTCAAGTTACACCTACCTAGGTCGTGAACTCAATATGATGAACGATCTAGCTCCGGAACTGAACAGGAGAAAACGTGCAGCATGGGAAGCGTATAAGACAATTGAGGACGTAGTGAAGAAGACCAAGAACATCCGGCTCCTCGCCCACCTTTCCAACTCGACGGTTCTTCCTGCTTTGACGTACGCTTCAGAAACATGGACAATCAGGAAGCAGGATGAACACGCGGTTAGCGTCATCGAACGAGCTGTTGAGAGAGTGATACTAGGAGTGAATCGACTCAAGCAAGTGAGGCAAGGATTACGAAGTTCTACCCTACGCCAACGATCGAAGACCAGGGACGCTGCCGCGTACGCCAAGCAGAACAAGATAAGATGGGCCGGGCACGTAATGCGTTTCGACGACAACTGGTGGACGAGAGCCGTAACAGATTGGACACCACTGGACGTCAAACGCCAACGAGGAAGACCGCCGACGCGATGGTCAGATATGTTCACGAAGTCCTTTAATGAAGTCCTTTAGAGCGTTCCACGTGTTCCTGGTGCGATACGTAAACACTGGTCAACAATCGCTCGAGACAGGGACGAATGGAGGCATCACTGGTACCTGCTCGTGCAACACGATGACCAACGGGGATACAGGTGATACATCAGTCGTAGTCACTTTATGCATTTCCAATGCTCTTGAGCTTGAATGTCTACTAGGCATGCAAACATTGATGTAACTGCTGATTGTTTCCATCCGAGGAAGACGTCAGAAACGATAACACAAAGCAAGTTAAAAAAAATGAAGTTTGGGCATATAATACTACAAGCTGTCCTGTCTGCGTGAGATCGTCTGCTAGCTGGGGTAGTGCTACCGGTACACCATTTAATGACATCCGAGCACTCAAGGCGCCACTATTGCAAGCTATCGCTGTTCCTGACATATACCCGGAGTGAAGGGGCATGAACAAACTTTCACACTGTCGCACCTATGGCACACAGTCAAGAAAATAAAGGCCTCACAGCAAATCTGCATCTCAACCTTGGCGGTAGGCATGCTGCCTTCAGGATAAGAGATTTATGGTGCATTTTTGAAAAAACCTACCATAAATACTTCTTCATCAATCATTTTGAATGAAGTGACGTGTGTTACCAGTTTCAGAGGCACATCACATGTGAGCAGCTCATCCATCGGAGCCGTTTCTGAAACAAACACCAGTACCAAGTATACTTTCAATTCTCAAATTCTCAACTCCTACCGAGTGCCAGTAATTGGCGTACGAGTTTCACCCTTGACAACACCCTTTTTCGAATAGCTTTTATCACATCATGCAGTACATCGGCCAGTTGCACACCACTTGTTTCCGCCTCACCGGGCGGAGAGACATTGCGCGACAGTGGACCAGATCCAGTTATAGCTTGGACAAATCTGTATGGGCGACCATATCTGTTGGCGAATGAATCAACTCCAACCCTAAATATAAGTACTGCCGCAAAATCGAGTAATTCATAGACATACTTTAACTGATGTAGCTTTGCGGCACCAACAGGGTTCGGGCATTCGGAGCCATCGTCTCCAGGAAAGAGACCATCCAAAAGCGTTTCGTGAGCGGAAACACCTCTAAAATTCGTTTCATGCATTCAAATCAGCGCGCACGGCCTGGCACGCGTTGGTTTGAAGCTTTTCTGAAAACGAAGTTCCCCATGACTTCGCGAAAACTTACGAAGTTCCTCTTGACGTAAAAATCGGTAGGGGAACCCTTATTCAGTCAAAGTAACAACAAAAAAACGAAAAGAACGGCAATCTGACGATGCATTTCTTGCCACACATAATTCACAGCATGTGATTGGAGCGCGCTATCTATCAACGCCCAGATTTACACTGCTTTTGGCTCAAAAAAAAGAGGAGAGGCAATGGTTTAATTCGCTTTTTTCATTATATGATAGATTTTTGACCGTTCTAATCGTCCAAATCAAAAAGGTCCAAAACTTATGTGAACTCTCCAATATTTATGCTCCGATCCAACCCAGTTGGTTTGGTGTTGTCTAGAAACCAACAAATTTGAAAAGGGATATTAAGGAGCACAAGTTTCTGGAACTTTTTACATAACATAGTTTGAAGTAATATTGTATACACCCAGCCCAAATTCGGAGCCATGTTATTGTTTGTGCGCTGTAAACAAGCAATTTGTTTGAGCCTTGCGCTTGAATTTCGCGCGCTTGCGGAAGAACACGTTCAACTTGCAAAATCTGACACGTTTGTCGCGTTCCCCAGGACCTTATAAAAACGATATCCCCGTCTCTTCTAACTTCAAAAACGAAGTCCAGTTTGACCCCAGACCATCTGTGCCGGGCCTGATGAACGCTCTCGGCCATCGCCAAAAATCATGACGCGCATTTCGCTTGAACTTTGTCTACAGGAGTTATCGACGCGGTGATCATGAGTATCGTATTTCTTCACAATAAAACGGGTGGATGTCGACAAGGTAAGTACGATTTAAATATCTTTTGTATGCCAAAGTCGATTGTCGCAAGACCAGAAGATGACCTTGGTGCAGCAGTAAATTCTAAAAACTTCTTTCGTGCATCGACAACAAAGCCGTTAGTGTAACTAGCACGCTGAAGAATCTCCTATACAAAGCTCTGAGCTAGTTTTGGGTATACAAGAATAACGATAGCTGGCAATAGTGGCGCCTTGAGTGCCCGGATGTCAATAAGCGGTTACCAGTAGCACCGCCCCAGCTAGCAGACGATCTCACATAGACAGTACGGCTTGTGGCATTATATGCCCAAACGTTGTTTTCCTTTAACACTTTGTGTTTTCGTTTCTGACATCTTCCTCGGATGGAAACAATCAGCAGTTACATCAATGTTTGCATGCCTAGTAGACATTCAAGCTCATTCAGCATTTAAGATACATAAAATCACTATGACTAATGTAGGAAGTAAAATCTGATGAAAAGAAAAGGAACTGAATCTAGACTAAAATTGAATCTAAACTGAATCTAGACTTAATCTAGGATGATGTACGATGTGAGTAAGCCGCTATACACGATGTGAAAATCGCTTACAAAGGACTTTAAGAAAGCATAAGGAAACGCAATGAAAGGCAACAGATTGACTTCGCTAGGGGCACGCGGCCGTGCGAATTTTGAGCAAGCGGGCACCGGAAAAATAATTCGCTGATTTCTTGTGGTCCGCTTGCAGATGTTTGGAAGAATTTTGACGATTTTGGACGAATGCTCGGAGAACAAATGCGGCTTTTTCATAGATTAGTTGTGGCGCAGTGGCCGCATTTTCGCCTACTTTCCGCGAGATGGAAAATTATTGAGGGCCGCACGGTCCTGTGAAAAACCGCACTGCCCAGTGTACCTTCCGCTGAAAGAAGTATCCCAAATTCGGGTAATTAAATCATCGATGACACCTCTGCCACATAGAGTCTCACCTTTGCTCGGCATATGCCCGAAACTGCTTTTAGCTCTTCTACACAAGGACACATGTAGGTGTGCTAAAATATACATTTCAGTGGTTGCATTTGAGGAAGAGGCATGATAGGAAAGGTATAATAGCCATCAGTGCTTATGAAGAAAGCACACCCTTTTCCCTAATTATGTCCAGGAAAATGGTTTACAAATCTAAAAACGTTTGTATGGTAGGTAATAAGGGAAAACTTTTGATAATTGTGCCAAAACTCTCTTTGCTGCTGTATCCATAGAGCAGTACTTGTAGGATGTTTGATTGAAACTTTAGAAAAGAGGAGAACAAGTCACTGACGAGCAACTTGCCTGGAATGAAAATCAAAAGGGGAAGAACGATGAGAAATGCAAAAGAGGTTGAAGGACGGGGGTGCTGCGAGCTGCGAATTCGCCGCGCGCTGTAGCGTACTGAAAAGCTGAAGAGGCTCCAAAAAGGCACGCCCGCGCTGGCAGGCCCCGGCACAGATGGTCTGTGGTCAAACCATACTTCGTTTTTGAAGTTAGAAGAGACGGGAATATCGTTTTTATAAGGTCATGGGAAAAGCGCCGAAAAAAAAACGACAAACGTGTCAGGTTTTGCGAGTTGAACGTGTTCTTTCGCAAGCGCGCGAATTTCAAATGCAAGACTCAAACAAACAAATGGCTTGTTTACAGCGCACAAACGATCACATGGCTCCGAATTTGGGTTATATGTACACAATATTACTCCAAACTATGTTATATAAAAAAGTTCCAGATTATGCTTACTAATATCCGTTCCCAAATTTGTTGGTTTCTAGACCAACACCAAACCAAGCGGTTTGGTTCGGAGCATAAATACAGTCTGCCCCAATCCCAACCAGGCCAAAATTGGCATGGCGGACGCCCGTTTCGCGAGGGTATTGCGTCACGTATACGGCTAGCCAGTCTGCTCTCTGCCCAATCTCTTCGCTCTCTGCGACAGCGCGCGCATGCAGCGCAGATCCCTAGCGCTGCGAGCGCGCAAATTCATATCGGCCTGATCCCGATTGGGGCACACTGTATCGGAGAGTTCACATAAGTTTTGGATCTTTTTGATTTGGACAATTAGGACGGTCAAAAATCTATCATAGAGTGAAAAAAGCGAATCAAACCATTGCCTCTCCTCTTTCTTGAGCCGAAAGCAGTGTAAATCTGGGCGTTGATAGATAGCGCGCTCCAGTCACATGCTGTGTTCTTTGAATTATGTGTGGCGAGAAATGTCAGATCGCCGCTTTTTTCAGCTCTTTGTATGATCCCCCGATGTTCCCCGATGGACGATCGTTCATTCTTTGAAGTCATTTTTCTTTCTTCAAAGTAAATGAAAACATTCCAAAGTTGCACTGATTTAACCCAAAAGTGCAAATAAGGGAGGTCCTATTAGTCGAAGTGGCCTTTTCAAATGAGTCTTATACCACTTCGAAGAGCATCAAACGCTAATTCCAAATCTGTATTTATCATCTGCCGAGCGCGTCTGCATTCCGAGTTATGAATATTTTTTGGTGCAAAAAATGAACGCATTATCTACGTAAAATCAAATTTTACAGTCTTTTCAGTGCTTTAATAGAGCAGCGTTAAGTATGAGTGTTTTGGACGGAGAGTGTTGTTCAGATGGAGCGCTCTGATAATCATGACTGGACCATTTGAGCATATCTCACGAATTCTGTGCTAATTACGCATTCAATTTTCCAATTCAAAAAATGCTCATAACTTGACGTCCAGAGGCGCTCGGCAGATGATGAAGACAGATTTGGAATCAGCGTTCGATGTTCTTTATAGACATATCAATTTCATAAGAAAAGGCCAATTCCACCATTCGGACCTCCCTTGTGAGCATATTGCTGATGAGAACAAATGAGTTTCTGAAATATCGAAATTTCCGATAAACCCCAACTTTGGACTCATGGTTCATCGAAAATTCAATGACTCCAAAACATCATTTGTTGTTATCAGCAACATGCTTAGGCACTGTTGGATTAGATAAGCGATACAACTTTGGAATGTTTTCATTAACTTTGAAGTAAGAAAAATGACTTCAAAGAAAAGACGGTCGTCACTTGGGGATCACCAGGGGATCATACAAAAGCCGGGAAATGCGGCTCGTATAGCTTCTCGCTTCTGTTCAATATGTTCAGTGGAGGATGGTGGGAATACTTGCTAATAGATAGACAGCTTGAAATCCAGACATCTGGAGCTTCAAGATTTAAAGCCTTTTTTTGCTGCGGTCCCCTCTCCATCGGGGATGTTAATGCATGCGGCCCTTAGAGCAGATCCGTGGTTTTGACCCCATACGGTGTACCTACCGTGATTCCACGCAAAAGCCTATGTAAGAAGATTATACGTATTATTCTCGCTAACATGACAGACCCCCTAGGCTAGATTTCAACCAAATTGACCCCTACCGTATACTCACCCTGACCAAAGCGAATGACCTTTTCGTTAGAAAGAATGTGAATATGACCAGCATGCCGCATAACCCCGTAGACCGAGTTTGAGTAAATTCACGACTTTGAAAATTTGGGGCATAAATACTTAAATGGCTTTGAGTTCTTTATATATGCTTCGTGTTGCCGAGACATCTCAAAACTTTCTGTCGCTACTGACTGATTAGAAGTGATTGTAGAATATCTTTTAAGTGAAACATATCTGCCACAGTCAAAATTTTCAGTGAACGATAATGAACTAGTCGTGTTGGGCTATGATTAAAGGATACCGTCCACGACCGCCCCGTTTCGTGCATTTACTCCACTGCAGGCGTGCTTATCTGGAGCCTTAGCTTTACAGCTGCGGCGCGCCTGGTATTCGCAGCTCGCAGCATGCCTGTCCTTTAACCTTTCTAGTTGTTTAAACATTTCTCGCTTTTTTTCCTTGATTTTCATTTTAAGCACTACACACTCATACACGCAAATCCGCTGCTCTAGACAAAATAAGGAATAATGAATTCCTTTCAAAGTTGCAGTGACGAATATTGTGGCTATGAGAGGGTGTAGATGTTTTCTTCAATGTTTTGTAACGATTTGTCATTTTTCTTCAGAGAGACTACTGAAGTGCTCAGATAATGGCCGGAGGCAGGCGGCCATGCGATTTATGGGCAGGCGGGCACGGAAAAATAGTACGCTTGTCAGAGGGCGCGGATCACCGACCTACC